ATGGCAACACTCAAACGACCTTCTGAGGTTAGATCTACTTCTTTAACCTATAGATCTGACTTCCCCATGCCCAATAATCATGTAAAGGTCCAATATTGAAACTCATGCAATGCACACAAGGCTTCTTTTGGTGAAATAACTTCTAAAATGGCAAGAAAATTTTATATTGAACTGCAGATCTAATAAATTTCTATTCATTCTCGATTTATTTATATTTTTCACTCTACTATAATACATGGTCTTCCGACCATCCTGATTCCCATTTAACCTCTTTACATCTTATAAGTAAAAAGGTGTTAATATGCTTAATTGGATCATATACTTGAATCTCTTTCTAGGATCATATAATTACATCTTATGTGTAGGTTTTTACATTTGATTTGTTAGAATCTAAAATTTTTCATTATCAGTATTGAATGTCAGATTGAGATTGTTTTCATTTTTTATTCATGCTTATTCATTTGTTCAGTTCTTATTCATATAAGTTTGATTTTTTTATGAGCATTGGTAATTTTTTTATTTGTTTCTTGAAAAATATATTGCTAAATAAAGTTGTAAGGTTATCAGTTATGAGTAGAGGTTTTTAAAGATTGGTTTTGTGGTTGACTATGTAATTCCATTTTGAAATGGAAATTGCAATCACAGCTGCTCCTTTTTTTGGTCGATTTCATGTACCTACTGCCATATTTCTGCCATGTCTCTAAGTTTTTAATGGAACTCTTAATTTTGTATAAGATAGTCGGTTGTTTTGTAGCAAAATGTGTAGACTTGGTCCCACCTTTCCATCTACAATTACATTTGTTCTTCCTTTTATCTTATTTATTTTATATTTTATGCACACCTATCTGTTTGATTAAATGCTTAACCAAAAATATATAGTAGTATAATCTGTAAGTTACTATCTTTTGTTGTTTGAGTGTAATATGGACGAAGGTGAAGACATCCTACAATGAACACAAGGTTTCTTGAGTTGTCCATGCATGCTAGATTCTCTTTTAAATATATAATTGTATTTAGGGTGAAATCAATTAAAGATGTAAACATAATATTTAACATGATATGTTTGCTTAATGGAGTTGTTGAATTAATGGAACGGATAATTTAATTGGAATGAAAGTACTAGAAAAACAAAGGAAAGCTCATTGATATTTCTTTCATTTATCCTTAGATTAGGCTAAATGCAATGTGAATGTGTAGTTGCTTGTGAATGTATCTACATGTGGTGTGAATGTATCTATATATATTGTTGTTGTTGGGAGGGGAGGGGTATATTGTTCATTTTGAAACAACCAATGAATTGGTGTGAAATGAAAATGACATGTTAACATAATCTTTTAAGTGATGTCCAATTCGGGAATTGAAAAAGTGATGAAATTACATCTTAGAATGAATTTTTTTCGATATAAGGTTAGTTTTTTTCTAAAACAAAATGACTCTTAAAGGATAGTACACAAACTATGCTCCATTATCAAATCATTTATTTGTGATTTCTTGTTAATATCATCAATGTTTTGTGATATTACAGTTTTACCATATTAAAATCATTTGCATCCTCTTCGATATTTTTCGTTCATTACTTGGTGTTTGTTTTCCCATTAATCGTGTTATTCGGAGTTAATCTTAGCAATTTGATGATGTAGACCTTCTATTTTTCTAAAGTATAATGAAGTATTGTTAGTTATATTTTGATTTATGAAGTACGACAAGGTGTAATACAACATAAAATGCATGGTTATGCATAATGAAGTAATTTCACCAAGACACAATTTTGTTATTTTCTGATTTTGTAGACTGCTTTTACTATGCTTTTACAATATTCATTGGTTGAGACTTTCATAAAAACAAAAGTTTTGCACATAATATAAAATTCATGTGTGAAATGGAGGATTACGAAATTTGAGATTATGAAACTCTTTTTTCTATATAAAAAAATAAATTTTTTTTGTGGAGACAGTTATTTTTGGTAGTTCCTAATTTTGCTTTTTGTATACAAATAAGTAATTGTCAAAAATTAATTATTGACTGTGTTTTAATATTATGTATGTTAATTAAATTATTATCTCCGTATAAAATACGAGTTATAACCTATTAATTGCAATAAATCATCTTCCTTAATAAATGAAAGTTTTTATTACTTATCACACTCTCATTTAATTCGTTAAATGTCATTTTGTGATTATTTTAAATTAAAGTTTTTTTCTACATATCATTTTATAAGTTTTTCTATATTTTAAAATTTTACGTAATAGTTTAATATAATAATTGCAATAAACATAGTAATAAAACGATATCAATCTCATTAATAAACTTACCTTTAAATTTCAAAATTTTTAAAATTAAAACTCATTAGTTTTTTATTATTTATTTAAATTATATTTTTAAATTTAAAGTATAAAAACATTTTAATTATAATAATTCACTATTTTTTTTCATATATATATATATATATATATATATATATATATATATAATATATATATATATATATATATATATATATATATATATATATATATATGGAAAAGTGAATATACCCTTAAGGGTATATAAGTTAGGTACCAAACACACCATAATACATCATTTTGTTTGATATATTTATTATAATGTTCTTGAACTTCAACCTTAACTTGATTTACTTTTAAGATATTCAAAATTTCACTGTTATATTTCTCTTACATCACATCTTTTTTCTAAACACATACTAGGCTATGTATATTGTAGTTGAAAATGAAATTATGTAAAAGGAAGATAACTGTGTAATTTATAAAATTTTTGGAAGTAAATCAAGTTATAAGTTAAAATATAAGAACATTGGATAATTAGAATGTATTGTATGATACAAGATGATGTATTATGGTGTGTTTGGGCACCTAAGCTTATATACCCTTAAGGGTATATTCACTTTTCCCATATAGGGTTTAAGGAATATGTGACTGTTATATACCTAATATTAGATATAGAACCATCAAAAACTACATAGTTTTAACATAATGCAACCAAATCTCTCTACCATTTTTCTTGTATTCTTTATTTGACTAGATGATAGGCTTTGTATATATTTTTATAGAGTTTTAAATATTTAATTTTGCACCACAAATCATGTATAAAAATACATTATCAAGTACCTATAAATCTTCATTTTCAAATTTAATGTAGAAAACTGTAGTGAAAGATTGAAATTATTCATTAAAAACCCAATAAAAATCTTCCCGTAACACATCAAAAAGAACAATGTAAGTATATATATGGTTGGTGCCAAAGAAAGTTATGAAGCCTATTAGAGGTCTAATATAAACAACACATTCAAAATACACAGATGTTGGAGATAAATTATGAAATCAAAAATAATATGAGCTTAAAAGCAATAGGAAGAAAATTGTGTTTAATCAAAGTGAAATCAATTTTGATGGTTCTATACCGAATATTACATACATGACAACCACATATTCACTTTTCCCATATATATATATATATATATATATATATATATATATATATATATATATATATATATATATATATATATATATATATACTAGTAGGGTACCCGCGCGATGCGGCGACTCATATAATTTTTTCGGAAGGTATCTTACATGCGGCGATTAGTTTCTTTTTCTAGTATGTAAGACAGTGCGTATTATTTTTCTGTAAGAGAGAGTTCCTTTCGGCGAATACTCTCTAGCTAAGTATGTAAATCCGAATAATGTTGTTCAAAACCGGATATCTAAAATTTCAGATATCCGAAAGTCAGATATTGGATTTTAGGTATAAGAATCCGAATCAAAATTTTCGGATTTCTTAATTTTGTATACGGATTCGGATATCCGAAATTTATTATTTCTAATATTAAGAACCAACTAAATGTGAACTCAATTAGTTTAACCATACAAAACTTTGAATAGAATGCTATATATATAACGTATAACTCGGTTAACATTGAATTAGAAAATTTTCATTCTAAATACATCTGAACTTTAGACAACAAAATTTTTGTTCTAAGTACACGTGAATTTTTGATTGGAAATTCATATTCATGACCACCCCTAGATGCTGGAGGAGACAAAGATTAGTTTCTTTTCGACAATTAGTTTTCTTTCAATTATGTAGCAATAACATGCACTTGTATAGTTAAATATTCAAATGTCCTATAATAATTATTTTCATTTTTTTATAATAAGTTATCAAATGTTAATAATATTACATTTACATGAAATAATGCTTATTACCGTTATCAACCACCTATGTTTTAACAAAAAAAAAATCGTCTTGTATTGCTTAAATATCCAAAAACTTTAAATAAGTTGAAATAAAGTGTATATTGTCAAAAATAAATTATATTCATAGTTTACATGAAGAACATGATGATAATTTAATACAGTAAACAAAAGTTCAAGTGTTTGATTATTGTTTATAAACAAATAAAATTATTATATAAATATTATCTTATTGTTATGTCGTTAATTTTATTTTAATTCTTAAAAGTACATAGTGTAGTTAACATAGTGAAAATTAGACATCCAGCCTCTGTTCTGCCCATTTTCCTCCTAAAACTCAGACATCTACTCATAAATCTTGTATTTGATCACATAGTTTCTATCTATTATTAACTCATACAGGTGTGCTAATATAAAAAGATAAAATGTGTGGTGTTTTACCATCGTAACATAGAGTTGTTGCACTTTTTCAACGTTAGTGCCTTACTGATGATTTCTGCTTTTGGTTGCATTCTTCTAGGTTCTCGGTTTTATACAAATTGTTTCATGAATTTCGGTTACAGAGATAATACACTATATCCTACAAAATACTAAAACAACATGCCAAATAAGAACCTTTAGAAACAAAATTAAGTAACCATGTGTATAAAAACACAACATTACCATATAAAATACCAAATAGATCCTTTTGAAGGGCTTAAAACCAAGGAGCCAAAATAGATTTGAAAAATCTAAAAAATGGAGTCACATCACCAGCTTATATCTTCAAATTCAAGATAACCATGAAAAATACATAAATTATAGAGAAGATGACCGAATACAAAAAAAAAACTAAAGTTTGGAACATATGAATGAAAATTTTCTACACACAAACCTTTTATCCAAATAAACAATGTTCCAAAACCAAAACTATCACATTCATGTTCAAAGGTTAGTTTTGCCTATTGGCAGGAACAAATTAAACCCACGTTCCCAAAACAATGATCTTTCTAATCTCACCTTTCCACGCGATGCTACTCTGCTTCTACAATCCTTTCTTGCAATCATGGAGGAGTACATAAGACAAGCACTATGCATGGTCTTCATGCCTAGCTGCTAGTACACAGTTTACATATGCTAAATGACAATTTTACCCCTGCACCATAAGTCCTGCAAATATAAAAAAATTTATGAACAACATCATCCCTCAACTCCAACCCCACTCTCTAAAACATATGTTAATGACCCCAAACCCCACAATGAAACAAATTATACCTAATTTTGCAAATTTATGATATCTAGCAAGACTCCACCGAAATGTTAATGCAATGTGTTTTAGAACTTAGGACTCCCCCTCCCTAAGTTCCTGTAGCCTAGTAAATGTCATTTATAAGTTACCAAACTAAATCGCCACAAAATTCAAAAAATAGAAAAGGTAAAAGCCTTATAGATAATGGACCACGAAACAAAAGCCAGACCTTAAATTGTTCTATAGAGAAAAATAGTAAAACCAATAAATCTGTAAAATAACAAAAGATTAACTTATTTTGCAGCCTTGACTGATTATTACCATAAAGAGAAGATGAAATAGATTTTATAGATCGGGCCAGATTTGTGTAGGTAAGATTAAATTGGAGAGAGAAAGATAGATAGAGAACCCTGGAACAGTTTGAACATCCTTTTAGGCTAAAATCGTGATCAGTAAATTCATGCATCTTTATCCAAATTCAACCACAACTAAATATAGGGCAACAGTTAACATCATTGATTAGCAAGTAGCATTCAGTTGTTTAAACTATGAAGCAGAAAGACAATTATTATTCTTTCATTTAATCAACTTTCAAAACTCTTTCAGAAATCGTTTGCTTTCATAGTTGTAAAGGTAGACACGAACCCACAATAAAAAGACACATAGTGAAACACACCATTACAATTTTACTTTCTAGCCCAGATTCGTGAAAGTATGGTTCAACCAACATTTAATATATACAAACCTTTAAGATAGACACCAAATAAGAAATAAAGGAAAGTATATCCGGATGCTTACAAGGATATGTAGAAAATACACTTTTTTCCTAAACCATTGGCTTGTTTATACATAGAAACAGAGAAATCAGTAAAAATATTCAAATACATGTCATGAACATTGAAGAAAATACAAGATTATTGACAACTTACGATCTCTAGCTACGGATTTTCATATGGTCTTATCTGTTAGGTATTTTATTTCAACATCCTGCCATCCCACGACCTGTAAACACACAAACATTTACGCTTTTCCTTAGAGAGATACAAAAAGAGATAGACAAAGAAAGAGAGAGTGGTGGTTTTCAGCGAAAGACAAAGAGGGAGAAAGCAAGAAAGACCATGGTGGAATGACAAATCTTACAACCGCATCGATTGAAAGATCCAGATAAATATTCACACCTGGGAAAGCTAAAAAAGCATATCTTCAAGAATAGAAAAGCTCGAACCTGAGAAATCTTAAGAAAAAAAAAACCATGAGAAATCAAAAGTAAAATAATTGATTCAGGGAAGATGCTTACCAGTTTAATGGCTCTTGTTCATTTGATGATTGTAACTGGGTAAGCCGATTTTGCAGCCACTGGGTAAGAGAATAAGCTTTGTTGTTTAGGCTTCTTCGTCTCCATCAGTTTTAAAAGCGAGCATGGGTGAAGGTGGTAGTGGGTAACGATGGCAGTGGCGGTGCTGCTATGATGGTGACACAATCGTCAACATTTTGTGGTGATTGTCTGTCGAACCCTAGGACATCGGTGATGGTGGCTGATGTTTGGATGATGGTTGATGCGGTGATGGTCTCGATTGGTTATAGTGGAGATGACAATTGAGTTCGGTTAGGGTTTGTGGAATATGGGAAACGTATTGGAAAATTCAAATTTTGATACGATAATGGTTGTGAGATTGTGCTTTCCTTGTTATTAGTTAAAAACATCAGCTAATAAATAGTAGCAGGATATCAACGATTTGTAACCATGCCCGGTTGGCAATCTGTGTGAGTGGTAAAGATAGATAGACTAAAACTCTCTATTTTTATTGGTTGAAAGAATTTCACATGGATCACCAAGAATTAAATCCCGATCGTTTATTTTTGATCCAAAGGTCCAGAACTGATTTCCTTGTTTTTTAAGATAACATGCATAATTTTTTGTACCATAGGCTTTAAAATTTGTACTTAAGACACAATTATGTATGCTTTATAAGATGGTATATATATATATATATATATATATATATATATATATATATATATATATATATATATATATATATATATATATATATATATATATATATATATATATATATATATATATATATATCAACAACTAGTAGGCTAATACATGCAAACAAAGTATAATAATACCAAATCATCAATGGTAGAAACCCATGATGATTTTCAAGTTCTGAAACCAGCATTCTTAATTGTTATTGAATCTTCTATACTTATAAACACCGAATGTATATTGTCCACTTATTATTATACAAACTATGAAACTTTAATTTCATCTATACGATAAATATTAAACAAACTCGAACGAATTTAATCGCAACATATTGGACACCTTACGAGTCCGTTTTCATTGCAATCGGGACATCTTTGAAACCCATAATCATTTTCTTCTTCTTTTTCACCTTCATCAGAATCAACTTCGTAGTAAATCTTACAGCTTCCAGAACACGTCTCACATGGTAAAAATCTGACATCTCCACAAGCCTCACATCTTCCTCCACCACCACAACCACCACCACCACCACCCTCATCCACCATTTCACAATCTTCTAACACCTTATCTAGTTGAAACTCATCATGCAATTGCCTAATTTCCTCAGCACCACCGATGTATTTCTTCCCAACGAACACCTTCGGCAACCCCCCACCACCACCAAATCGATCACCCAACAACTCCTTGAGTTCCTCCTTGAAACCCGAATGCATGGATACATCTCGTTCGTCAACTCGAGCACCAGAACTCTTCAGAATGACTCGAACATGGCAGCAATCCTCGTAGGTCTTTCTAACACCCCTTAAGCTTGTGAAGTATAATATCAATTTGTCTTTTTGAGTTTGACCAGACATAATTTCGGTTTTTCCATCTTGTAACGATCTCCTCACAACATCAAGAAAGTTACCTTCCGATGACTGTTGCCTTTCGCTGATTAATGGCTTTTGGTTTGGATCAAGATATGATGCAATAGATGTGTTGTTCGAGTTTGAATTTGAATCCGAATGGTTCTTCTCTTTGATTTGTAGCCATAATGGTTTGCACAATACTTCAACATCTCGATCTTTTTCTTGCGGAATAGAGTTGGAATTAACGATGTAGGAGAATCGACGGATGTGATCCAAATCCACCGTGGATGGTGGTCGGAGAGGGCTTGAATCATCCAAACCCTCCATCAATTCCCACGTATTGATCGTTTCTGGCTCACCAGGAGGGGTTCTAATGGGTGTTGTTGGAGTAGTTTTCGTGATCTTTTCATTGATCATCTTAGACCATGTTTTGGCCTCGATGACTCCAACTGCAAACTCCTTGCTTTTCTTCTCCGGAAGATTTTCTCGAACCGGTTCTTGAAAAATCTGAGCAAGTACTGGATCATGGCGTACCTGATTGGGTTTAGATGAATCGAGTTGAAGGTAACCAAGGGTGGTGGAGGTGAGTGCTACGATGTGGCGGTGGTCGCCGTCGTGTGTAGAAGTAGAAGAACGGTGAACGTCTGACGAATAGCTCCTCCGCACCGGAGAACATTGAGAATTGCAGTTCCGGCATACAGTTTGCTTCGATGGTGTGCAACCCATTACACCAAAACCCCACCAACAAGTTCCAAAACTGAACAATAAAAGCCAACACTTTCTAATAAAAAAAGATTAAAGAAACATAGAATCTAGAGTGTGTGTGGATATGTGTAGGTGATAATGAGAAAAGGAGAGAAGTTCAAAAAATAACATTCCCCCATAAATGAGCTGGAAAGAGAGGCAACAGCTTCAAAAATAAAATGAAAAACAAATCAAGAATAAATAGACAGTTTAAATATACAAATAACGATGAGAACTGGGTAAGACTTTCGATCAAATTCCCATGAATATGAGACTAAAGAACACACAGTGTTTGTATGTGAGAGAGAAAGAATGAAAGAAGGCGGGAATTATTGCATACATGGCTATCCTTCTATTATTCATAGTCCCTACGTACAGAAGGTCCAAAAGCAAATGGAAAAGAACAGATCGTTAGGTTAACAGTTAAAACCCCCATGCGCATGTTGACCGGCGTGAATTTCACGTCCGGCTAAGGACATTGGTTTGGGAGGTAGCGACGAGTGGTGGCGGCGCGTGGGACGGAAAGGTAGGGTGTAAGCGATGGGAGTAGTACGGTTATGGAAGTTCTCCGACGTCGCGGCGGCGACAACGACTTCTCGGCAGTCGTGGGGTTAGTAGGGCCCTTTTCTGAAATAGGATTTAGAACCTGCTGAAAGGTCTGATTTTTGATTTGATTTTGAGGAAGCAAGTCAAAATCTTTAAGGATTTTCCAACGTATGTTTCGAAACCTAAAATCACGGGTTTTCCAAATATATATTAAATTTAAATTAAGAAACGAGAAATACTATTTGTAACAAAATAGTATGGATGTTTATATTTATATTTTATGTACTAGGTGTGAGATCTATATATTATATGGGTTTAATTAAAAAAAATAAATATAAAATTTTAAGAATTTGAAAAGTTTAAATTTATAAGAAAAATAAAAAAATTTTGAATTATTAAAATTAATAAGATTTTAATGTATTGATTACATTACATATATAAACTTTTTCTAATAAAAAGTTTACATATATATTACGTTACATATTAAATATGAAATTTTAATTTAATAAAATAAAAAAATAAAATAAAATTACAAGTGGAAAATAAAGAATTTAAAAATTCTAGAAAATACCATGTGTGAATGAGAAGAGAACATGTAGCAAAAAAAACTTTCATTTATTATAGTAAATATGAAACGATCTAAAAGTTAAAACTAGTTATTTTAAGAAAAAAAAAATTCCGTACCAAACACGCTCTTGACTACTTGTATGAATGTATATAAAAAATTTCTTAAAAAATGTGAACATTTATAGTTGTTCTTGACTACTTGTATGAATGTATATAAAAAATTTCTAAAAAAATGCGAACATTTATAGTTGTTCTAATATAACTTTATATATATATATATATATATATATATATATATATATATATATATATATATATATATATATATATATATATATATATATATATATATATATATATGGAAAAGATGAGAACCTATAAATGTCAAAAACCATTTATTTTTAAATTATTATTAAGAATTATACTTGTCGTCGTGAATAAATCACGTTTAACAATCGTAAATAATACAAAACTTAAATTCATTTTCATATTTATTTTATATTTCTTCCATATAATTTTTCTCATGGTCTAACAAAATATCTCTCTCTCTCATATCTTCTTCCACCACATGACGAACACAGCTAAAACCTTACCATCCCCACCACCACCGACGGTAGTTCTACAACCGTCACATCTATTCCTTTGTTGCAACTTCCGATCATCATTGAGATGCCATCGTTATTCGGACAAAAACTACTCTTTATTAGTCATCACTTCGCAATGTACCACCGTTCTTCCTTTCTCTAGCGACCGAACGAACACCTCTAATGAACCAATAACCACTCGACATGTACGATCTCAAGCGAACTAACACCTCCGGCTGCAATATCCGATGGTATGTCTGCAGATTTATGAATTCAACGAATTTCCTTTATGCTTCTTGTTTAGATCTTTTTAGATTTGAGTAATTTCGGTGATTTTTTATTACTCCAGTGGCATTCGTTGTCCAGATCTGTTTTGATCTAAGTGAATACGATTTTTAACAACATCAACTCTTATTTATGACGTTAATTTTGTTGATTCGAGTTGTTGTCGGTTTCCCTAAGCGAGATCGGCAAGATCTGTTTGTTTTTTTGTTCCAGATCGGATGACTATTTTATTGATAGCGAACTCCGGCGAAGACACCTCAAAAGGCTATTGACTCCGATGAAGTTCTAGTCGTTTGAAAAAGAATATTGGATGTTGCTATTTTGCGTCGATTAGAGATGAATATCGGTAAATTTTAAAAGCAGAGAAATATAAGAAAGCTAACGGAGATGCTTTATTATTTCCAGACTTGTGCAGGTACTTCGTTATGCATACACATTTTAATTACTTAGTATTAATTGCTTAGAGTGGTAACTTAGATAGTTTAGTTTCTTAATTCTCTAAATTTATGAATCTAATAAGGATACACCATACATATATAAAACATAAATATGTTATTTATTCTTTCGTAAACTTTGTCAATTTAATTACTATAGTATACATTATTTTATAATCATAAAAAACGAAGACGATGTTATTCCAAAGTGGAAATTAAAACCTAACTAGAGATGTATAAACAAATATTGTTATTCCAAAGTTGAAATTAAAACCTAACTAGAGATGTATAAACAAATATTGTCGTCATTATAATTTTAATATATATAAATAATATCAAAGTTATCTGTTTGATAATATGAAAATATTGTATTAAATTGTGAATGAATTGTCTATTAAATTATAAATAGGTTACGCATTAAGTTGTGAATGTATTATGTATAATACCTATATTAATTTTTTTGTAGATATAAATTTATTTGTTGTGTTGTATATATATATATATATATATATATATATATATATATATATATATATATATATATATATATATATATATTATATATATATATATAAATGTATTCATTTTTATAATTTTTTTGTATTAAACTATAATTGAGAGAATTATTATGTTTTTAAACTATAAATATAATATTTAAAATGTTAATTTTAGGCACTAAACTGTGAATTATTTGTATTAAATGTTTAATTTGATAATACAGTGGTGAATGCATTTTTTTTGTGTAATAAACTTGAATTTATTGTGTTAAGTTGTGAATTTTATGTATTAATATGTGATTTTTGTGTTTTAAACTATAAATTGAGTTTATTAGGTTGTGATTTTTTTGTTTAAACTATAAATTGACTATATCAATTTATTAAATTTGTGTATTAAGCTGTGATTTTATGTTTGAAAGTGTGAATTAACTGTATTAAACTGTAAATTTTCTGATTGAACTATGCAATAATTATATTAAGGTGTAAATTTTTTGTTTAAACTGTGATTTTTGTGTTTTAAACTGTGAATCTACTTTATTAAGCTGTGAATTTTATGTTTAAATTGTGCACTGATTATATTTAGGTGTAAAATTTTAATAAATTTTATGTTAAAATATAAATGATTTATGTATGAATATTTGTATTATTTTTCTTGTGAAGATATTTATTTTTCGTGTTGTATAAATATGTTAAAAATGTATTACTTTTTATAGTTATTTTTGCATTAAACTCAAAATAAGTGGTTTATTAAACTATAAATCTATGATTTTATATACAAATCTGATTTAAAAGGAATAATGGATGTGACGGTGGCACGACTGGTTAGTGGTGGTATGTGGTAATTGGTGGTGTTAAAGTTTTCATTTGACTTATCTGAATATATATATATATATATATATATATATATATATATATATATATATATATATATATATATATATATATATATATATATATATTCATGTACAATGGATTGTGTTAATTTATGAATTTTGTGTATTAAACTGAGAATGTACTGTATTAAAGTGTGTACTTTATATGAATTTTTTTTAAATATGAATGAATGTATGCATGAAAATAATAGACTGTGAATTAATGAATTAATATGTTTATTAAACTATGAATGTGATATTTTGAAGAGAGAAAATTAAAATTGTCAAGGCATAATTTTTTTTATTAAAGTTTATATATTTGACTGCAAAAGTGAAATTGTATGTGTTCAAATGTATTACCAAAGAAATATAAGTCATAATGTTTGTTCTGTTAAGCTATGAATACGAACAGAAAAATGCCACTAAATTTGTTGTTACTCTGGGGCGGTCCGGCGACAGTTTGGCGGGGGTCCAACGGTGGTCCAACGACAACTGATAACTATTGTAAACTAGAGAATGTATATGTTCGCTTAAAATAATATTAATGTTTGATTTGTCTAAAATACATTTAATGAAACACATTTTAAAAATGGTTCTTAGGGTTGTTAACCTTTTTGGGTTTTCATTTTAACCAATATATATATATATATATATATATATATATATATATATATATATATATATATATATATATATATATATATATAGGAGAGGGTTCAATTGAGAAAAAAATTAAAAAAAGGTTAAGAATGAGGGAATCATTCTCAGCCAATCACTTATTTTTGCCGCAAAAGGCTCCAACGTACCGGCGGAAATGGGAAACGAATGCACATGTGTTTTCCAACATAACTGTTAGGGTTTAAATGTTGTAATATGTCGAAGTGTTAATTGTTACGAAGGGTCTTTATCCTTCATATGAAGATTCTTCAGAAGTAATATTATTTTTACTAAGACATTATAATGAATAGTCTTAATGTCTAGTCCTTAGTATTTTTGTTATGCTTTTGTACTCCTATAAATAGGGGTCTATACTAAGTGAGTACTAACTTTTCTCTAAGACTTTGCAGAATATTCTTTGTACTCTGTAAAAACAAGAGCATAATATGAGCTGAACCAAGATTATATTTACTCTCGTGTTCATCGTTTTTCTGCTTTCTGAATTCTTACAGGAATTTTTTTTTAACTCGATTACAAATCTTATCAATTGGTATCAGAGCGGGTCTTCAAGATCAAGGTGATATTTCAAGAACGATTCTCGGTTTGGCAATTATTGTTGCAATTTAAACAATTTTGGTGAGTCTCTCTCTATGATCTCTCTTAATTTCATTCAATTCGTGCATTGCGTTTTTCATTTTTGATCGTTTTGACTCGTTGGATCAATTTTTTTTTTTTGCAAAACCCATTTGTTTTGATCCAATAATTTTTTTGTTGATCAAATCCTAATCCACTTTCATATTCGTTTGTTTGATTCAATTCTTAATTTGCAATTATTCATTTGAATCCAAAAACAAAAATAATGTTGTTATTGTTCATCTTTTATTCAAAAATCGAGTCCAATTTTGATATTCGTGTTATTGT